ACAAACGTGCTTGAGAACCCAGGCCTCCTGTACCCCGGTTTCCTGAGCTTGCCATACAAATTACTGGGAACATAAATGTTCTACTTAAGGCTTAAGGCTCACATTGTTCCTTTGTTTCTAAGATTCATTTCCTTTCCCTGTGGAAGTTGTATAGCTGCATGTAATTCATGTGTCAAGTTGTCTTATCCACAGTTGAGGCTGCTTATGATGGAGAAGCAACACTATCTATAGTAAAAGTTGTCTCTGGAAACCCAATTAGTGAAGAAAACATCAAATCACATGCAACCAAGCACCCCAAAATTAACCTTTTCTCCTTAAAAACTCCCTTCCCTGCACACTCCCACAAGCACAGGCAGTTCATCAATCTCTTTATGTAAATAGAAGTCAAGAAGCCAGGGAGGAGGTCTGTTTATTATTTTTGATCCTGTTTTGCTTCTGGCAAAATTTCACAAATAGCAGAAGTTGGCAGAACATCGATACTTTTTTCTGACTGACTACTGTTTGCTAGCTACAAGTGCAGAGTACAACTGCAACTATCTGGTCTACAGGCCGGCCTCAGCTGCGACTGAGCACAGGATTGTAAAATCTGGAAGGAAAAAATCTCCACCCTAGACTTCTCTTGGAAAATGTGGACCCTTCTTTACTGCACACTTTTCTTGCACTAGAGGATGGCTGAGTTCCAGATCCATTGTGTCTAGAGAAAACCTAGGTTATTCTCCCCCAATTCCCACCTCACTCCTTGTACCCCCTAGTGTCAGAAAAGGTCCACTATGAAGTCACAAGAGCCCCTGAGCTCTATGGGTCCTATGAGCCCTGGGAAAACTTGGGAGAGAATGGACATTCCACCCCAGCACTATCTAGGAAGAAGGGCAGCATTTTGAAGGGTTGGGAGGAGGGGGAAAAGGTTGTGGGTAGAAGAATCCGTACTTTCTGTGATGCCTATTCCTTAGGTAGGAATTCAGAAAACTTAGGTAGGCTAGGTACCATGCTGGATCCTGCCCTTGGGAATCCTGATGCCTTGGACATTTACTTTTGGATGCAGAGGTCTTGATAAAGAGCAGCCAGCCCTCAAGAGGGGAGTGGGAGTGTAGTTAGTATAGGATGGGCATGCGGCTTTGCTGCTGGTGGCACAGTGAGGTCCTCCAACAACATGAACGAAGGGAGAATCAACCGGGTCTATAATGATGGAAAAAAACATAAAACAACAACAACAAAAAAACCTTCTTGGTTCCAAGTAAACACATCTGCCTATAATTATGATGATGACAGGGTTCCACAGTCAAGAATAACATGGGCTCCCAGATCGTCCAGACTTGAGTTCAAAGCCCTGTTCCACCTCCCACTTGCTGTGACTTTGGGAAAGTTTATTGAACTCCTGGAGAATTTGTTTACTCATCTGTTAGGTCTTACTATGCTTATTTTCCAGATGAGTAAACTCAATTCTCAGGTTTTTATGAAAGTTAAATAAAATAATAATACAGGCAGTGCTGAAAATAGTTGTTATTGGTACATCATAGTGGGTCCTCAACAAAAGTAGCTACAGGTTTAGTAGCCCTTGTCTGAAACGCTTGACACCAGAAGTGTTTCGGATTTGGGATTTCTAAAAATTTTCAAATATTTGCATTGTACCGGTTAAGCATCCTTAATCCCCAAATCCGAAATCCAAATACTCCAATGGGCATTCCCTTGGAGAATCATGTCAGTGCTCAAGAAGTTTCAGATTTTGAAGCCTTTCAGACTTTGAATTTTCTGATTAGAGATACTCAATCTGCATAAGTATATTGTTACCACTTTTTAAAATGTGAATATTTCAAAAGCTCAATATTGTGGTGAGAAATATAAAAGTCAAATGATCAATCCAGACCCAAATGGTTCATCTAAGTACATTTAAACGTTAATAAACTCTGCTGACAGACAACCTGCCTGCCCATGACAAACCCTGAGTCTTTTCACAGGTGACTCAATGGAAATATTCTCCCATAGCCAGAGGCGTGGCTCGCCGGGGCCTCTGGGTGCAGCTGCACAGACTCAAGCAGCCCGAAGGAAAGGTGACTGACAGTTAATGATCTGAAAAGAATTTGTCTCAACTCAACATCGTTCCTGGCATTATCGAACAAAGCAATAAACCTCACAGAATGAAAGCTACAGTGTCCAGGGCCAGCTCTGCTAAGGTAACCAAAGACAGAGGAGGCAACAGACAGGAGAAACCTACGGAAAACCAACAGAAATATAATTGCTTTGGCAGAAATGCGATTATAAATTGGGAGGTGAGGAAGTAATTTTACTCTAAACAGGGTTGGAGCGGAGGAAAAACTGGACTCTGAAACAATCTTTCTTCTACCGGTTAATGTTTTACAATTGCAGCTGCATGCTGCCAAATTCCCTTATTATAACAAGTCAGTCTCCACTTACTCATAGTGCCCACTCAGAAAAGTGTGTTTTTCCATACAATCTCTGTTCTAAAGGAATGATTCGGTAAAATGAAATCAGAAACGTGTCAAAGTAGGAACACTTGTCTATGAATTTTTCAGTTCTCTGAAAGATTTCAGAGGACAGAGCTTCCTAATACAAGAACTTAATTCCACTGGACACATGTTGTCTTCAAAACGACAACGCATGTGGAATTGCTCTGCAAAGCATCATTCACTACATCGGTGAAGGCATTAATATGACAATTGCTTTCCAGGGTTTCTAAGATACCATATGCAGATAGTCAATATTTCATCCTCTAAAACAAGGTTTTTGCAAGGCTCAAGATTAATATGTAAGTTATGATACATAAGACTGTACTAAAGGATGCTGTTATTCTTTCTGGAGGAATTTCTAAATAGAGGGAAACTTAAAAGTATACATATTCCACAAAATAAATAAAGCAAAAGAATCCACAGTGTTTAATTGTTAAGATGTTAATCCAGTCAACTCTATGAATAAATTTCAAAAAATTGATAGTGATCAGATTTGTAGGCAGTCTTTCACAGCTGAAGCATTCAATAAATATGAGGAATATTCCTCAATCAAAAAAATGAAATCCTTAGAAAAAAATGGGCAATTAAAATTTCTTAAATAATTTGTATGTATTAGTACGAGAGCTTAGTTTTTGTTGGCAAGTGGGCATTAGAAGATTTATATTCATTTTACTGCACTTTTTTTTTTCTGTTTCCACAAAGACATATAAAACTGGAAAGGTTTACAAAACTAACAAAAATCTCAAAATTAACTCAGTTTAGAAAAATGACAAGAATTTGAGAGAGGAATTCAGGTTCTTTAAAGATATATTCTTAGTCTTTCATTCATTTTCTTTCAGCTTGTGATGAATGTTTTCTCAGTATCCTATGCTGAAAACAGGTAGATACTAATATCTATCTTCAAGGGCTGTTATGAGTATTGAATAAGACAAAAACATGGAAGAAACCAGCACAATACCTGGTAAGCATAAGTATATCCTAAAAATCAGTCTCCCATATTTTTTTGATGTAACAAATAAAATTGAGAAATAAACATTTGATTCATGTAATGGGGGCTGAATTGCAGCTTCCTAAAATTCATGTGTTAAAGTCCTTGCCCCCAATACCTTAGAGTGTGAGTATATTTGAAAATAGGGCCCATTAAGATAAAATTAGGTCATAGGGAAGGGCCCCAATTCAACTGGTGTCTTTACAAGAGGAAATTAGGACACAGACACATACAGAGGGAAGACCAGGTAAAGATAACAAGAAGGCCACTGTCAGCAAGCCCAGGAGAGAGGCCTCGGAAGGAACCAGCCCCACCGGCACCTTGTTCTCAACTTCCAGCCTCCAGAACTGTGAGACATATTTCTGGGATTAAATCACCAGCCCCAGCAAACTAAGACAGTTATTAAAAGCATTAGCCTGTTTTATAATTTTAAAGTTGTTTTCCATGATGAATGTAGCACTAGCCTTTGTGCAGACTGGCTTTCCAGAACCTCAGTTACAGATTGATCGGTTTACACCTCACGTAATAGAAGAGAAAACGTAGATCTGGAAGACTTCAGTAACTTATGCAAGGTCACCCCAGTCTGGGTTTGGTGGCCTTCCTGCTGCCATCACTGGAGGATCAAAAATAGATGCTGGATTGCTTTGAAAAGACAGCTGTTAAATGGATATTTGGGTTCTAAGGAATACAGTTTTAAACTCAAATGTCCCATCTATTACCAAGTAATAGATGCTTGCCTCAGGCTTCATTCCCCCACCAAGAACGTCCTAGCTCTTCAGTCTAACGTGAGGCACAACCCCTTTCCTCCAGCTCTCCCGCCCTCTCAGCTTAGCATTTACCACCAAGTGATTCCAAGAGCTAGGAACACTTCCTGCCAAGAACTTCTTTCACTGCTGCAAGGTAAAGTTCAACAGGCTTTGCTCTTTATCTACAGGAGCTGAAGCCTGGCTGACACCCACCGTTTCAGGTCAGTTCAGGGCACCTTGAGAGAGAGTAAGTGCTATCCGTATTGGGAAAGGCAATGGTTTTCACTACAGTTTAAGAAAAAAACTCTCTTTTCTTTCAAATTTTCTGGAAGACCTTTTTGAGGACACTCAGAAACTGTGGCCTTATGTGCAGCACTTTGAAAGGTAATATGTACATGGATGTTTAATAATTTTTTTGTTTTAAATTGAGCACTTAGTATCTGCCAGACACTGTGATCTGTGTTTAATTATAGACTCATTATAGTCTCTTGTTTAATCCTTGCAAGAACGCTGAGATAGTTGCTCTTCTTAATGCCATTTTACCTACAGGGGAACAAAAGCTAAGAAACATTAAGTAATTCATCCAAGGTCACTCTATGTGCACGATGTAGACCTAGAGTTCAAATTCAAGTTTACATGACTCCAAAGCCCCCTCTAAATGCTCCAAATTATAGAAAGTTTGGAGTTTGGGTCGATGGACCGCATCCCTGAGACATTCTTGATTCCACAGAAATCAAGGCTATTTGTAATCACAGGGCTATTTATAAAGGAAAAGAAATCAACCAACTTGTCTTGAAATTCAACCAACATGTTTCAATTATTTGCTCCTAAGAACAACAGAAGTTTCAACATTCTGCCAGCTGAATAACTCCTGGAAGACTGGTAGAGGAGAAGGCATAAAGCAAATACCCATCTCTGTATACCCTGTGCTACTGTGCCATGAGCTGCTCTGGGCAACCCCAATGGATTGAGCACCCTGGCCAGTGATAACACATAAGAATTCCACTCAGTATTGGGACCAACAGATAATGAACACAGTCAATGGAATTCCTTTACAGTCTTCTTCAAGATATTCTGCAAGACTGTTTTTCCTTCTTCTTGACAGTTTTTTTTCCTACTTCTTCTGGGAAGCCAGTGATAAAAAAAAAAAAAAAAAATCAAAGCAGCTTTATCTGACTTCGAACTTCCACCTAAAAGTACAGCTAGTGGAGTGAAATGCTAACATGAGGATCCAAATTTTCAAGGAAGGAGGTAAGCAGACTTTCCTGTCTGAAAGAGACTAATGGTAAAAAGGAAGGTGGTTTGATGACTAAGAACATGTTAAACATAATGCACGTGTTTACATAAGTTCAGACAGCAAGGGCCTTGCAATGGATTTCACTCCATATTTTGAGAAATGCATTTAAGGGGAAATGTGTTGTGTCCCTCAAAGCATCTGGAGAAGATTCTTTAATTTTCTCAAATAAGAACTCCAGTCTATTTGAGTGAGAATGGTTGGAATATCATTACTGTAGGGTTTGTGAATTGTTCTTATTTCTTATAGTAATTTTAAATATTATACATGATTTCAGGAGAGTATAACTCTCAGAGGAAAACGTGATTTTATGACCATACATACTTTTTGTATCCAGTGTGTGGTGAATATAAATGTATGTGAAATGCTACTGTTCACTTATAGAGGCTGAATACTAATCAAAGGTTCCTGCCATCCATATGTATGCTTTTCAGAATTAAGCAGGAAGCAGAGAGTTGGAATGCAGGGAGAGAATGCCTACTTCAGCTTGAAATTCTGACATGTAAATTAGGTACTTGGTGACTGCCAAGTTCCTTTCCAGTCTCTCTACACTGTTTCACCCTTGTGTTTTATCCAACTGTTAGAGAGGCAAAGCAACACAAATCATTTGTATTTCAGTCAGCTCTGCCTCTGTCAGACCTTTAAAATTCTCAGGATTCCTACGCGGTGTGTGGAAAATCATTTGCCAGTCTAGCCAGACATTGTGAATCTATTTCTATTGATTTTCTTTTGCTGACAGCATTAGCATTTTCTGTAATTTGAAGTTATTTTCCAAGTTCTTAATTTAGATTCCCTTAGATCCTAAGCTTCTAAAATTTAAAAAAAAAAAGAATGTAAATGTCTTTTCAAACAGTAGTATATAAATTTTCATGGTACTTGGTCCTGCCCTAGACTGCACCAGTCCAGAATGACCGCCACGGTCTGGTGTGACTTCACAGTGTGGCGGTTTGCTAGGCAATGTGGTAATTCCCTATGCATCCTGTTGGAGCTTTTGGATATTGTGTGAATTTCTCTCCAGAAGCATCATTCATAATGTGAAATCTAATGTGTATCCCTTTGCCAGTGGAGGAAAAACATCTTAAGAATGTATATGTAGACTTCCTGGAAATTGGTAAGTTGCCTCTACAACTAAACCAAACAGATTTTACTAATTAGAATTCTCTACACAATTGCACTTCATTCACTTCTTTCTAGGAGAGCCTTTATATAACCAAAGATATATTTGGACCGTGAATTCAGAAACCCTCGGAGCCACCCATCAGTGCCTGAGCTTCAGTGAGTCCATATCCCATGTCACCTATGGCAAAGGAGAATCTGAGACTCCTGAAGAGTTTCCTGCTTCCTTCCTGTGAGGCAGTGACTCCACTTCCCAGCAGTAATGGAATAACTTGAATTAGCTACAGTAATGTTAGACCCAGTTGGACCTCACCCAAGGCTTCAACTATATTGTAGTAATACAAAGCCAGAGCTAGAAGGCAATAATTTCTTCCTTCTGGCCCAACTGTACCTATCTTGTAGAGCTTTTTGAGGACTGATTGTATCCTTGGTGTTAGAATGATTAACTCTGCCCATATACCGACTCAGCTTTCTGTTCGACAAATGTACAGGGTCTGCCTACCCAAGTTAGAATCTTTGTGTGATTGTTAATTTTCACAAAAAGATGGTCATCTTACCTTTACTCAGTTGACTCTTAAAGTATCTGGGGCTGGCCTTTTTAGAAAACATACAATACTTAATGTTACTCTCCGAAACACAACTTCAGGGTATCTACTGCCCAATCGGTGCAAGAATTATATTCAGAGAGAATTATCTGAAGGAAGCACAGGCCACATACTCTCCTAGACCAGCATTTCCAAAATGTGTCCCCTAGGGAAAGTTGGTTTTGTAATATGTGACTTCCCAGTATCCTGTGAAAAGTGGTTTCAAGATGAAATGTACCAGTTAAACTACTTTGTACAAGATTTTCCTGAGTCTTTCATAAGCCTGAATTTCCGAGGGAAAGGGAATGTAGCATTTCCAAAAATGACTTAACCACAGAAATGTTTTCTCCCTTGAATCTCTGTCTAATGGGACTAGTGCTCTGTGAAGCCGACCTATAGAAATTGCCTGTGGATAATCTCTATGCTATTTCTAGATTAAGACAGAGAATCTGAAGACTGCATACCTGACCTCTTGTTTTACCCACCCACCCATGCCTAAATATTTTCTACTGGACTGTAATTTATTGTGATGCCCCCACTTCCACTGCAGGATGTTACAAGAAATGAGACTCACTAATGAATTCATAGTAGGAATGGTTGAAGGCACCATTCACTGTAGCTTGCAGTGTTCCCTTTATGAGATTTGTGTGAGAAATTCCTCTCATATATCAAGTTCTTGGGAGAAAATTCGCACAAAGAGCCAAGTCCCAGGAAAAGCATGGCTGGTAAGTTTTTACCTTATGAACAGAGAAAATCTTCCCTTGGTTGTGTTTTCCTCTTTGCTTAGATCAGGGAAGCCCGAGCCAAATTTGCAGCCCATTTTGGATAATTAGTCAAGGCCTTATTATTTTATATTTCCCATGTAATATATCTTCCTAGTTTTACCTCATTAATTGGCCAGCATTTCTCTTTTCATTGGATTTGTCTTTTTGCAATCTTTAGTTATATATCCTTCTATAAACGACCTCAAATCCTTTAGATAATGAAACGGAATGTAAATTAATATATAGTTTCTTTCCCCATACCAAAATCATATTTCAGTTGCTCCTAGGGAGACAGCAAATGTCTTTTATATGATCCTTATTTCATTCAAATATCTAGAGTGCAATTCACGGTCAGGTTCTCCTATCTTCTTGAGTCTTCTTGATTTCCTCACCACCCTGTTGTCATTGCTAATGAAACACAGAGAAAGTGTGTATCCTTGTTAATGACCTGTCTCCACTAAAATCTCCATCTATTTATGCCCCTTTATATAAGAGTGTTGCCAAAACCCACTTATCATTTGCTCTCTTTTTAAATGTCTTTTGGGTCATCAGTTGATACTGCTAAGACCACTAGTGGTAACTGTTTTTTTCTAACTTATGTTGCTATCTGTGTCCATCATTACTTTGCTAATGAAATGAGGAATTTTGCATTATAAGAGTTGACCACTGTCCAAAATTTGCTAAGAACTAACACAGTGATGACTGGGGAGACTGGGAAAGGGAAAGACATTAAAAAAAAAAAACAAAACAAAAAACAAATCTTTATTCACTGAAGCTAAAGTTGCAGAACACAAATTTGGCAACTGCCTGCCTGTATCTAGGATGTGTGAGCTATAAAGCAATGATGTGTAGCTACTGAACCTACAACTTGGTTAAAGTTAAACTGTCCAGTTTTATCCATTTATAAGCATATGGTCCTTTTGTTAATTTCCTCCCAGTACTCATTTCTTGACTTCTTATCGTTTCATTATGTAGTAATTTTTAAAATGTTATTCAAAGTCAGTTAATTTAATGCATTTAGCAGATTTTCCTGTAACTTTGGTTAAACAGTATTCTTTCTGTATAGACCTTCCAATCACCAGCACTGAGTAGAAGGAGGCTCTGATTCATGAAATGTGAATTTATGACAGTTGCCACTCTTAAAAAATAACAAATAGAACTTGAGCAATACATGACTGATACATTCTCAGCCTGCTTCCTGTGTTCCATCTGTCTTTCTGCCAGTGCATTCACCCTCCAGGTTTGAAAGTAGTCGGGTAAGAAAGTACTAAACATAGAGAAAGGGCAATTCCAAAAGAACAAATGATTGTTTAAATTAGGCTTACACTACCCAGTTGCTGGGGGTATAGGCCATGGGGATGGGCCATGTTCACCACTTAGGTTGGGCAAATTCCCAAGATGCCTTTTGACAGAGTAATGAGGGGGAATACATCACTCCTGCCCACTTGCATTCCCTGGGGAAATTTTTAACAGGCAGTATATTCCACTGTAGCTGAATTCAAATCAGGTGCCATATCTACTTAAAAATAGCCTCAGATAGAATGGCAACCCAAACAAGAGTCTAACTTTCCCTGCTTTCCCTGGTAGTGAAAATTGCTATATTCTACATTTCGTATCAAGAAAAGAAAGAGGTTGCATTGTGAGGTAAGAGGCATGCAACACGAACTTTCTCCAGTCCCTGCCGTCCTTGCCATAGGTCAGGCATCAAGACAACTCCACTTTACAGGCCTGGACTTTGGAGAAAGAAAGGTGTTTACAAGTTTCTGTATAATTATAGTTATACTGACATTTAAATAGTCCACAAGACTGAACTTCCTTACATTCCTATGACACTGATAATGAAAGCACTACCCAGGTGTCAAGGAAGCATGTCGAGGTATATGCTGAATGATGTAATAAGAAAAATGTAAATAAGCACTGCCTTTGTCTTAAGGTAACACCTGCAATTGCAGAATCTTAGAATTTTAGAGATGACGAGGACTTCAGAGATTCTTTAATCCAAACCCTTTATTTAATGGAAGAAGGGGAAAAGGTCTAGAGAAGTTGTGATTTCTCTCAGATCACACAATAAATTAGTGGCAGAGGTAGAACAAAAGCCTAATTTCCACTTTACCATTTCCTTGACAAAGTATGGAACAATTGTAAGCCACTGATATAGTCCACATACTAAAGCCGCTCTGTTGCCTTTTTAGGTTCTACTATGTTAGGTTTACGTTCCCCTGCTTTTTACATTCCTGTTCGAAGAGTTTCTGACTTAACCACAGAGAGAATTCCAGAACATGAGAAACAGAATAAACTTGAGCAATCATAGTCCATCTACTTCATTTTCTCATCAAAAACCAAAGGCCCAGTGAAGCTCTGGAACTTGACGCTGTAAATGACTGAAGGGGCCTCTACACAGAGCTTCAATCCCTGTCTCCTTACCCTACGTCCGCAGACTTGACTGCGATCTGGATTATGCTGCTTTCTAAGCATTTAAAATAAAATAAGAAGTTTAACAGTGTGATAAATTCTTTCAAGAAGCAAGTAATCACATTTATGTATCTGCTTACATTTGGGTTTTCCAAAAAGCGTGTGTGTGTGTGCATGTAAACTTTAAACATGGTAGGTACATCTGTACCCAATAAATCATAACCATCAAATAATAACATAGAAATCCAATTCTCCCCTCATACCCATTAAGATGGCTACTAACCATATACAATGGAATATTATCCAGCCTTGAAAAAAAAAAAGGAAATTCTGCCACATGCTAAAACATGGATGAACCTCAAAGACATTGTACAAGGTGAAATAAGCCAGTCACACAAAGTAAATCACTGTACAATTTCACTTATATGAGGTACTTAAAGTAGTCAAATTCATAGAGACAGAAAGTTGAATGGTGGTTGCCAGAGACTGAGAGGAGGGAGGAATGAGGAATTCTTATTTAATGGATATGGAGTTTCAGTTTTGCAAGGTGAAAAGAGTTCTGGAAATGGATGGTGGGATGGTTGCACATTATGAATTATGAATGTATTTAATACCACTGAACTATCCATTTAAAAATGGTCAAGAGGGCAACAATTAATATAGTATGCACTTTACCACAATAAAAGAATGAGAAAAAAATCCAATCCACCTCTTCTTGGGCTAACATGGTCTTCCTCCACCCCCAGCATCCTCTCTCCTATCCACTCCCAAGTGCCAGTCAGTGAGGGAAATAAGGACCATTATTATTTCCATTCTCTCTCTCTACAACAATTTCCCTATTGATTCAAGCAAGAATGTTGGGTAGGGATTATGGGCAGTATGACTTACGATAAACTTTCACTCTGCAAAACAACACTCTCTTTTAAACATCTCCTCTCTTTTGAACTGGATTTGCAACCCCAGAACTAAAAAACAGTCTGCAGAAATGATGCATGTAATTTCTGATGTGTACCCTGAGATGAGCAAGTTTAGATTCATCCTGGGTTTGGGTAATGAATTCTGATCCTATGCATCATCAAAGATCCCTTTATTTCTCCTCCTTGTTTTTCCTCCCCATGAGTGTATCTGCTATTGAATCATGTGCACTCCATTCAATGATTATCTCACTATAATAAGGTCAGTGGGGAGCAACTTATGTGTTTCCACAGTTCCCAAGAACCAAGAGAAATTCTAAGTAATGATGCCTCAAATCAAATTAACATAACGTTACATTTTCACGATCTAAAGCAGAGTAATGCAAACAATATTAGTGATGTGGCTGTCACTTCAAGATACTAACCTGTAAACTACAGAAAATAACGCTGTCATTAATTTTATTTGCACGCGATTAACGGAATGATTAAAAGCTGTTAGTGGCAGGGCACAGTGGCTCACACTTGTAATCCCAGCACTTTTGGGAGGCTGAGGTGGGAGGATCGATCGAGCCCAGGAGTTTGAGACCAGCCTGAGCATTATAGTGAGACCCTGTCTCTAAAAAAAATTTAAAAATTAGCCAGGCAAGGTGGCACACGCCTGTAGTCTCAGCTACTCAGGAGGCTGAGGTGGGAGGGTCACTTGAGCCCAGTAGGTCAAGGCAGCAGTGAACTATGATCACACCACTGCATTCCAGCCTGAGTAACAGAGTAAGACTCTGTCTCAGAAAGAAAACAAAGCTGTTAGTAAAATAACTTGACATCCTGTGCTATTGGGTAGTAACTGTTTAAAGAGAATAAAAGGTTTAGCACTTTGCTTCCACTAGAGAAATATAACCTGATAGGAACTTTCATAATGAGTGACCAATTCTGATCCTATAATACGGTGCAATACTGTATCCTGAGTAGCAAATCTAAAGAGTCTCTGGTATTTTATATAATCCAAAGCTCAACCATATGTTCAGTACTTTAGCACTTATAAAAACTAAAAATTAGTCTAATATATTGCAGAGCATGGACTGTCAAGCTGTATTCAAGTACCAGTTCCTACTGTGTGACCTTGGACAAGTTACTTGAACCCTGTGTGCATCTGTCTTCTCATCTGTAAAATGGATATAATTTAAAAAGTAAGTATAATGATTTTGGCATGCTGTAACTGTTTAATCCACATTCTCTGCTATTACAGTAGTAAACCAATCATCTAATACAGTAAACTCAATAAAATTGTTTTGCATTGCTTTCTTATTGTCTTACTAAAGAGTTGTATGATGTTAACAGGTAATGATTTCTGAATCACTACACTGTTGAAAATCTTTATTGCTTCCCTGTGATCTTAACAGTCATTTTTAAGTGTTAGGTATTCATTGACTGCAAACACTCCATTGCCCAGTATAAAAACGAAGGAATTCTCAAAGTTTCTAATTAGACAAAAATGAAACATAAACTGAGGGCACCCGTATGTCTCAAGTTACTAGTAACACAGGATGTCAGGTTATTTTACTAACAGCTTTGTTTTCTTTTTGTTTTTGAGACAGGATCTTACTCTCACCCAGGCTGGAATGCAGTGGTGTGATCATAGTGCATGTGTTCACAACTTCAAATCCTGGGTGGAAAAATAACCCTCATTCCAAAAGGACATAAATAATATTTAAATAAAATCAATGATTGTAAATACATCTAAGAGGTTTGCAAAGTAATTTCAGCTAGTTCTATGCAATATTTCTTCTTCTTTTTTTTTTCCATCCTTTCACTCCTCCCATCCTCAACCCTCAGGTGAGCCCCAGTGTCTGTTTGTTGTTCCTTTCTTTTATTTTCTTTCTTTTTTTTTTTTTTTTTTTTTGAGACAGAGTCTCGCTCTGTCATCCAGGCTGGAGTGCAGTGGTGTGATCTTGGCTCACTACAACTCCCGCCTCCTGGGTTCAGATGATTCTCCTACCTCAGCCTCCTGAGTAGCTGGGATTACAGGCATGTGCCACCACACCTGGCTAATTTTAGTAGAGACGGAGTTTTCCTATGTTGGCCAGGCTGGTCTCGAACTCCCGACCTCAGGTGACAAACCCTCATTGGCCTCCCAAACTGTTGGGGTTACAGGTGTGAATCACCATGGCTAGCCTCTATGCAATATTTCTAATATGATATGCAAGCTGAGGAACATTTATATATTGTAGATGATAGAGCATTATTAAGCCCCAGTGTTCATAAAGATGATGGCATTTGGAAAAGCACCATTGCCAGAAATTTCTAAAACCAAATTGGAGCTGGTTTTTATTCTAAGCCTAAAGTATTTTTAAATCAAGCCACAGGGAAATAATTACTTTTGTTTCTATTCAATCAAGACCTGCACACAGAGTTTATGGAATGACATAATATCCTTCCTGAAATCAGACCGGCATGTAGGACCAGCATCCTTCACACATAACTAGTTCCTGAACCTTTACAAACAAATCCTAATTTCCAAGGAAACAATCTCATCAAATGCTGCTCACTAGAATACATATTGTTCTTTTTGGAAACATTACAATAAGATTTTCATGATTACAAACCCCAACTTCCTCTCTAATATTCAATATAATTTTAAACTCATTTATTTAAATGGAAACTGTATTTTTATAATGGCTGTAGAAATTCTTGGTTAAGTTATGTAGCACCGATATAATACTTTCTTTTATTTTAGTCTTGGGGGGTGATCATTAACAGACTGTAGACATGTGTGTTAGGAACCTCTTAGGAATGCTCATCTTTCTACTTTCTCCTGATATACCGTATAAGGATCAGGTTTAAATTTTTTTTTTTTCTTGGAGACTGGTAAATTTTAGTAATGTCCAGACTTCCAGGCTGGTATTTTGGGGAGGGGGGGCGAGAATAAAAAGAAAATCAAGCATCTTATAATCAATATTCTCTTCTCTTTGCCTTAGGAAGCTGGAGTTTTGTATGCAGGTCATAGGATTTGTTTTGAGATAAACAAACACCTTAATTCTTTACCAGAAAAACAATATCAACACATCTGTGGCAACTGCTGACATAAACATACAAACAGGAAGAGAATGCGATTCTAGTGCTTAGCCTGGTGGCCTTCAGAACAGAATTCTTACTTTCCTCCTCTTCACTAAGGATGTTCCAAATACTCCCGACAGGGTGGACATTAGTCCCCCGCCCCCTCCCTAAGGAAATAAACAAGTGTCCACATTCTAAATGGGACAGAGTGTGAGGAAATTGCCGAAAAGCTCCTAAGATACACACTGAGTAACCATTCTCATCTGTTCTGTAGACACATGTAAGTTTTGGAATTCATGATTCACTCTCCCACCGTGAAGTTTTCTGTGCACTTTATGTTGAGCTATGTGGCAGCTGAGGGCTGTCCCTGTTTGTGAAAACTGCAGCCTGAAGTTATTTTTCAAAGTTATGGGTAGTGTGGCATAGAAATCCACATTATAAAGGGAAAACAATAATTAAAAACAAAAAACCAAAAAAACTGGGTTAGCATGAAATAGAGCCAACAGAAACCAGAATGAGCAACAACAGCCTTCCACTGCCGGCCACTCACCTTGTTGAATTTTAGTCACTAGCTGATGGCGTGCTAGAATCCGGCTCATCCTGTAAGGAGAGCGTCTTGTAGTCTGATCAAATCGCAAGTACATCTCCTGGCCCTCAGGTGTCATGGAATTTAGGTAGTAGCAGCCTGAGGCTGGGGTCCTGGGCACCTGACTGAACATCCCGGCAGATTTCCTGTTGCCACCTCAGTCTGCCTGTGGCTGTTTCCGTCTGTCTCCAGTCTCAGTCAAAGAGCAAGGCACCCAGCCCAGGACAGCTCAACAGACCCAGCGATTTTTAAAAAGAAAAAGGAGTGCCAAAGCCACAACTCAGAATTCCAACCCCCCGCCCTCATGTGATCACGGGAGCCAATGAGAGGAGGAGAGGAAAATAGGAACTTTCGCAGTCAGCCCGAAGCCCGGACCAGAGGCAGTTCCAGCCGCCAGGATCCCCCACACAATGCTGAAAGCAAAATACACGTATTTGACGTGCCTCAGAGCTGACGAAGCACCCAAAAGCAGCCCTCACTAAAAGAGTTAAAAGAAAAAGGGAACGGCAAAGACAGTAGAAGACAAGTCCAGGGG